AAGATTCTACTGAAGATCATCCAAAAACGACTGGAACAGCACATCAGCAGAAATCTGCCAGAAGTCCAGGCCAGGCATAGAAGGGGTCGTGGTACTAGGGACATTGTAGCTAATATTAGATGGATCTTTGCTGAAAGCAGGGAATACCAAAGGAATGTATATCTGTGTTTCCTTGACTATGCAAAGGCATTTGATTGTGTGGATCATAAACTGTGGCTGACTCTGAGAAGAATGGGAATCTCAGAACACTTGGTCATGCTAATGAGAAACCTATACTTGGACCAAGAGGCAGTTTTCAAAACAGAGCAAGGAAACACTGCATGGTTCAAAATTGGGAAGGGCATATGCCTGGGATGTGTCCTGTCTCCATACCTTTTCAACATGTATGCAGAACAGATTATGTGGGAGGCTGGGCTCTGTGAGGAGAAATGTGGGGTCAGGATTGGTGGAAGATCTGTCAACAATCTGAGTTATGCAGATGACACAACTCTGCTTGCTGAAACTGAGGAGGACTGAAGAGCTTGCTGCAGAGGGTAGTCAAGGACTGCAGCCTCCAATATGGATTGAAGCTGAATGTCAAGAAGACAAAGATTCTCACCACTGGACCAATTGGCAGCATCAGGATGGATGGTGAAGAAATTGAGATTGTTCACAGCTTTAGTTTGCTTGGCTCCACAGTCAACACTCTTGGCAACAGCAGCCAGGAAATTAAAAGACATATTGCAATGGGAAAGTCTGCTATTAGGGACTGCTCCAAAGTACTGATGAACAATGGTGTCTCTCTGGAGACTAAGGTGTGTCTGATATAGGCCATGGTCTTTGCAATCATTTGTTATACATCAGAGAGTTGGACAATGACCAAGGAGGATAGGAGAATTGATGCCTTGGAGATGTGGTGCTAGAGTATTCAATGTACCATAGACTCCCAAGAAAACAAATAGGTTCACCCTGGAGAGGGTTAAACCGGGCAGCTAATTGGAGGCAAGCAAGGATTCTGAGGTTTCGTCTAATATACTTTGGACATGTTTTAAGGAGGGAGCGGTCCTTGGAGAGGGACATCATGCTTAGAGGGTGGAGGGACAGTGCTGGAGAGGAAGGCCCTCTATGAGGTGGATTGATTCAGTGACTGGGGTAATCGGATGGATGTATCAGAGACAGTTCTACTGTTACAGGACAGAGCAGAGTTCAGGGCTGTTGTACACAGAATCGCTATGAGTCGTAAGCGACTTGACAACACATAACAACAAACAATAACAATGTGGGAGAGACTGGAGAGCATTATGTTAAGTAACTAACTCAGTCTCCTAAGGACAAATACTGCATAAGACCATTATTGTAAAATACAGAAGGATAACTAGTAAAACATGTATGGCAACACAAGGAGGAAAAGGATGGGAGCAGAGGCATGGTTGCACAGTTTGGTGGGTGGAAGGAAGGGGTGAAGGAAATGGGAAGGCTCCAGAGGGGACCTGAAAAGATGGGTAAGATCCAATGGTGATTGATTTTATAAAACAATGCATAGGAAGGACTGTACGAAACACACTATGAAGAATAGTGTGAAACACAATGTTTATGAACTTTGTGAGTAGTAAACTAATAAACCCCCTCCCTCAAAAAAGAATAATGATGATAAACCAATACCCAAGCGCAAAAAAAAAAAAAAAGAGATACGATCTTAGAAACCCAATGGAGGGCTGCTTTGAGTTGGAACTCACTCAAATGGCAGTGGATGTAGCAACCATGTAATTTTTAAATTTATTAACTGTATTCATGTTTAAGTAGCAAACATTTATACTTCAGTCAATTAAAAAGTCTTAATTACGATGGCTAAAAAATTCAGGAGCCTAGTACACTCTCTATTGCACACTGTTAAAACAAAGGCGTGGGAAGAGAAAAATATGAGTCTTATGCTATTGCTCAGAAGAATGTCTATTTTCTTTGAAATATTGCGTTGCTCCTTCTTCACACATGGAATGTGCAAGAGCAGGGGGTGGGAAATAATGAGTGGGAGAGCTGGCACGTAGTACTTTGTTTCTGTAAATACTTTCAGAGTAGAAAAGAAAACTTCAGAGATGAACATAGATTTCAAAAGCAGTTCTGGTACTATCTTACTGAACTGCAATGAAATGATTTTACAGAATGTAAGGACATGTGAAACTATTACTGCATCCTTTTAAACATATTTTTCTGATGCCAACAAGAAAGTTGTTTTTCCATTATAGCAACTTTATCACTTTGTTATATAATTCTTCTTAGCAAGTAAAAAAGCTAAGAAATTGATGCTGATTTGTATGAGTAATATTTCAAACAGTAAAAAAAAATAAATAAAAATCCCCCAAGTTGAAAATCTTCTGTGTAGGAAAAAGTGTATTTCCAGTGTTATGTGCCACAATGGGGAAATTTGTTGTCAAAGTCATAATTCAAAAGAACAAGGGTATCAGTTTAAAAACTAAGGTAAAACAAAACAAAACCAGACCCCAAAAACTAAGGTGGGCCTGATGCAAACCATGGTGCTTTCAATTGTTTCTTACGCACACAGAAGTTGGACAATGAATAAGATAAAAGAGAAATAGATGCCTGTGAGTTATGGTGGTGGTGAAGAGTACTGAACATCCCATGGACTGCCAAAAGAACAAACAGGTATGTCTTGAAGGGAGGGCAACTAAAGTGCTTCTCCGAGGCAAGGATGGTGAAACTTCATCTCACCTATTTTAAGCATGTTGCCAGAAGGAACCAGTCCTTGGAGAAAGACATCTTTCTGGGAAAGGTAGAATATCAGTGAAAGAGAGGGAGATCCCTCAATAAGATAGACTGGCACAGATGACTACCACAGTAGACTTGAGCCTGCCAGAGATCACAAGGATGTGCAGAACAGTGCAAGATTCAGAACTATTATCCACAGGGTTGTTATGATTCGTAGTTGACCAACAGCTCCTAACAACAGTAGATTTATATTTATAATCCAAGCATTATACTCTTTATGTTGTTGTTGTTATGTGCCGTCGAGTCACTTGCGACTCAGTGACCCTATGTACAACAGCCCTAAACTCTGCTCTGTCCTGTGCCAATCTCACTGTCTCCGACACACTCATCCTGATTGCCCCAGTCACCGAATCAATCCATCTCCCAGAGGTCCTTCCCCTCCTGAGCCTGCCCTCCACCCTCCCAAGCATGATGTCTTTCTCCAATGCCATATAAATTAATAATAGGGGCCTTTCTAGTCTGGCTATGGGTGAGTTTGCCTACATCAAGGACTTGAATAGAATCTACTCTAAAACACTGGCAAGAAATCTATCTTTAAAAATTGTCAGTATGACTCAATTATTTAGTATCTATTAAACATTATTGAAAATGGAATTCTTGGTAACAAAGATTATATACAACCATCTAAATACAAGTATCTTAAAGACTTCACTCAAATGCAAATATTCATTTCACACTTAAATAAGTTAGAGCCTTTCCCATTGATATTAGGATATGCAACAAAATCATTACTGACACTATACTTCATTATAGTAATAAGTGCAGTTAAGTACCAAAAGGACAAAAGGTTTAAACACTGGATAAAAAACTAAAATTTTCACTATTTGGAGATACTTAGAAGATAAAAGCATTTTAAACACCTTAAACTAATCAAAGTGTTCAGTAAATGCTCAGATACAAAGTCAACATATACAAGATATTTCCTAAACATTAGCAATAATCAATTAGGAAATGTAATTCTAAACATAATAGCCATCCATTCATTTCAAATATCTACATTTTTAAGGCACAATAACTGATCTAAGAATATCAAGGTAAATATGGCTTCAGGCCCTAAGTAAGACAAAATTTGGCAGGAGAAAATGTTGAAGAAATAAAGTTACCATTTAAAATGTTCTTTGCTACAATGATAAAAAAAACCACCTAACTATGGACTGTGGGAATACAAATGAAGTAGTAGCTAGGTCAAGACAAAATCTGGGAAGGTTTTATAGAGGGGACATTTGATGTTGTGGTTTGGTATCAGAGTCAGGACTGATCCATAGCTGATCCTCCAGGGGGTTTTCAGAGGCAGTAAACTGCATGGGAGGAGACTGCCTGTCTTTCTCCTGCAGAGCAGATGGTGGATTTGAAAAATATGCAGCTTCCTAACCACTAAGCCACTGGAACTCCCTGAGATGTTGATATGTGCTGTCGAGTTGCCTGTGACTCACAGCAACCCTACGTACAACAGAGTTATTAAAAGATGATAAAATTTATAGAATTTGGGGCTAGAGTGCAAGACTTTAGCAGTGGTAATATTATGGGCATAGATTAAAAGGAAGAAAATAGGGCATATCCCCAAAAGTGGGTCAAGAACTCTTAATATCTACATGATTTGGACAACATCTTGTTCCTGTTTCAATTAAAACATGGAGAATAATTTGGTCCTCAGAGAGCTGCTGTGAGGAAAACGAGATTAATTAGCTGAGAAGAATGCAAGGGCGATCTGGCTACTAGATATTCCACCCCACTGATTTCTAAGACCGACTCCCTGTTTCTCCTCAGGTGGCTGTTTCCTTCTCTCCCACCACACAGAAACAATCCGGTAGAAACACAGCATTGGTTGTCATGCACAGTGGTCTAGCACAATTTTTTACACACTTCACTGTTGTTAGGGCTGCTGAGTCTGCTATCTTTATGCTGCAGTTACTGTGTCAATCCATCTCATGAAAGGCCATCTTTTCTTTTAACTGACCTTCTACTTTACCAAGTTTGATACTCCTGCTTTCTGATAATATGCTCAAAGTACGTGAGATAGAGTCTCATTATCCTGGCATGCTGACACATAGTACACATTTACTAATGCCAATTTCAAAAATACCCAGACGGTCAGAGTCCCACTGAACAATCTGGGTCATTCCATACAAACTGCCTGGAATTAATCCTGGCTTCCTGGTTCTCAGTTTGAGAGCTAACAGTATATGCACCAGCATATGCACCCCACCCCATATGCACACACATCACTTTATACTTACAGGCTGAGGCTGCTCTGCAATACAGCAGTTGAAACATAACCAGAATTCACTCATGCTTATAGTCCCAGGTATAAATGAGCACCAATGAAGATTCCAACTCTCAACTGGGGAAGCTTCACAAAGCACGTTTTTCAAAACGATGACTGTTCAAGGATGTCAAATGAAAAAATTTTTACTTTACTGGGTTTTTGTTCTTGGAAGTCAAGTACCTTATGCAGTCAATGTAATAATAATAATAATAATAATAATAATAATAAGCTTCTTTGTTTTATTTCTGTAGAAACTCTTTTCCGAACCACCAGGCAGGCATAAAAATTCTTGTCTTGACGCAAGATCTAGAAATGGTAATCTAGAAAAAAGAAAAAAAAAAGAAAAAAGTTACTTTATTTCTGGAGGCTTTTATTCTCCTAAAGCTAGGATAAAATGAAGAATAAATATTCAAAGATATAAACACTTAAATCAGTATTTTAACAAAAGAATATTCTCTGAACCTTCTGGGTGCCAGGCATTATGGCTACAACCATGCCAGCACACCAAAGTCCCTGACTGCTAAAACATTCTATTTAAGACGGTTAAAACATTAAAATTCTATTTAAACATGCTATTAAAATATTCTATTAATATTTTTTAAAACGATGCATCACTTTAATAAGTTTATTTTTAGAAAAAATTCTTAATTAGAACACAATGATTATTAGACAAAAATATCTAATTCCAGGAAATACTGATCAGTATTTAAATAGGTTCCTTGACTGAATTCCTTTGCTCTCCACAATCCAGAGAGTAACTGGCACTGTAAATAACTTTAAGATAATTAAACAGCAACAGTTCATTAACAGCCCTGATGGTACAGGGGTTTAGGGCATCTGGGTGCTAAGCAAAGGATCAAAGGTTCCAACCCACTAGGTAGTGGGAGAAAGATGTAGAATTTGCTTTTGTAAAGATCTGTTGTTATGTGCCACTGAGTCCACTGTGACAAAGCGATCCAATGCATTTAATTGCTCTGAACCCTGCTCTATCCTGAGTCAATTTCACTGTCTCTGACACACCTACTCTCATTGCCCCAGTTATTATGACAATCTATCTCTCCTCTCCTGCACTGTCCCTCCACCCTTCCAAGCATGATGTCTTTCTCCAGAGACTGGACCCACCCTGGTAAAATGTCCAAAGTATGTTAGATGGATCTTCAAAATCATTGTCTCCAACGAGCAACTTGGTTTCACCCTCTCCAGGACAGACTTGTTTCTTCCCCTGGCAATCCATAGTATGTACAATATTCTTCTCTAATACCACAACTCAAAGCCATAGAGCTCTCTGATGCATAGCAAGTAACTGCGAAGGCCTGATCAGGCGCACCTTGAGCTCTAGTCTGGTATTAGCACTTTGGAAAGGTCCCGGACAGCAGATTTTCTCAATTTGATTCGTCTTTTGATTTCCTGACTGCTGGTGTTAACAGTATTGATTGTGGACCTTAGCAAGCTGAAATTGTTAACAACCTCAATCTCTCTCTTCTCCATTTAGCATGGTGCTGCCAATTGGCCTATTAATCAGAATCTTTGTTTTCTTGATGCTTTGGGCTTCAAGCCTTGGGAATCCTATGGGGCTATTCTTCTGTGTCCTATAAGTTCACTAGAAATTGAAATTTACTCAACAGCAGTGGGTATCAATCTTTGTAGCTCATAAAAAGCTGCAAAATAAATGTGCTGCAACGGAAAAAGTCTGCTGCTCATGACTTATACTTCTAAGTGCTCCTGAGCAAGAGTATCAGTTTAAAGACTATAGTGTGCCTAGTGCAAACCACGATTTTTTCAATTACATCTGAAAGTCTGACAATGAGTAAGGAAGAGTGAAGAATAACCAGTGCCTTTGAATTGTAGTGTTGGAGAAGAGTATGGAATATCTTATGGTCTATCAAAAGACCAGACAAGTCTGTCTTGGACAACATACTTTGGGCATGTTGGTGACCTTTACCAAGGACATCATACTGGCAAAAGTTGAAGAATACTCTCAACAAGATCTTCAACAAGTTGGATGAACACAGTGACTATCAATGGGCTTGAGCCTATCTGAGACAGTGGTGCAGGGTCAGAGAAGGCTCAGATCTAGTTTGCTAAGTTAGAGTCAATCAATGGCACCTACCAACAATAACAACTACATCGTCTTCTTAATACAGAAAAGTATTTTAGGGAATTAAGCTTGGCTGTATATATGTATGTGAATAAATTCTTTACCATTACTACCACAGATGCCACTCAAAATACTTCCTAACCCACACTGGCCGGTCAAGTGGAATCAGAATCCTCTTTTTTGGAAAAAGCATATTCCTTGCCTCACAGAGAAGATGGTTCTGAAATAATAATGCTGGCAAGCAGAGACATTTACATTCTATGACATTCTGGTTTGAATAATCCATTTCACTTGTGCACTTGAGGTCTGTTTCTATTGAGCCAACATTTCTCCTTTTTTTAAAAAAATTTATTATTTTTTGTATGTGTACTGTCAAACTGGATCTGACTGGAACAGGAGGAGACTGCCCCTCCTTCTCCGGCAGAACATCTAGTGGATTTGAACCACGTACCCCTGGGACTACAGTGCAGCTTCTTGCCACTAGGCCACCAGAGCTTCCCTCTCCCTTTTTTGACATATTACTTTGCAATAGGTTTCCACCAACTGCAGCCTAGTAAACAGTCACGTGAATATGCTCTATAGACAGCTAAATATATAGACCTAAGATGAAAAAGTGTTTCAATCACCAGAAGATCCTAATGTAAGCAATAAATGTGACTACTGACGGACGGTATTTACCACTAGAAGCAAGAAAGACCTAAGAGAGATTTGTGAGACATGGTGACATTTAAATATTGGGCAGGAAAAGAGAAGTCTGAAGAAGGGGCTTGTACAGAAGGAGAAAGAAGGAAATACGGTTAAATGTGTCACAGAAGCCCATTTCAAGGAGGAAGTGGTCAACAGAATTAACTGTCAATGAAACAGCAGACACGCTGCTCATCTGATTCTGCTGCAAGCCACTATGTGGTGTCCCTGAATACAGCTATTTTAATAAAGTAATTTGGGCAGAAATCCGATTATAGCGAGATAAGGAGTAAAAGGAATGCAGTCACACCAACAAGTAGAGATGATATTTGAAAGAAGATTGGATATGCAAGAAAGATGGTGGAACATGTAAGAAAGAAGTTGGGAGGGGGTGTGATCCTAGAAATTATGTCCAAAGATACATTCTAATTCAAAGAAATGGAACAGTTTGTCTCAAACAATAAAACACATAAATCCCATGTTTCTAAATTTTAGAAAAAGGACTCTTGTATTTATACCCATTGAACTCAAATCAATCTCAATTCACAACAACTATTTACAAGACAGAACAAGAACAGCCTTGTAAAATTCTCAAAGCTATAAATCTTTGCAAAAGGATACTGATACTTCCTTTTCCCATGGAGCAATTACAGGGTTTTGACCCATCAACTTTGCAGTTAGAGGCTCAGTACTTAACCAGCATACCACCAGGTTCCTTCATATATTTATATGCTATGCCAAATACAAACTAATAGCCCTATTACAGGATCACAGGATATGAATTATTAATGAAATAAAAGTTATCCCTCTTGTTTTTTGGTTTTTTAATTTTTTTAACAGAGGTTTTGGATTTCCATTCATTCATTGCCGCAGTTTTCTCCCTGCCCACCAGCTCGCTTCCCCCTCCGAAGAGAGAGAGAGAAAAAAAATTCCTTCATTAGTATACAATTCCCATGTCCCTTCCCCCCACCCTCATGTGCTAACCATAATAATCATATATCACTTCTAATCTGTTCTTTCCCTCTTGTTTTAATCACAGCCCAAAGTAATGATTCTAAAAATGGGAAAATAGGGATGAAAGTTCTTTTTAGATTCACACAGAGAAAGATCTGCCATAGAAAGAAATGAAAATATGCTCAATGTCAGATTCTGGCAATACCTATGGCATGACTTTAGAACCCTTATTCCACCAGAGGACAAGTGCTCTAATACACTACACAGAAAAATAATGCTAAGACTTTTGCATGTGTTCAAGAAGGGAAAGTGAACGATAAAAATTTACATTCTTGTCATAGTTAAAATTCAGAACCTGGAATGTTTACTTTCAAGTAGTCAGTATAAACATTTCTTATTTCACTCAAAGGCTAAACCAAGAAAGCGGCAAATCAAGAAGGTTCAAAAGAACAGTATTTTTCAGTTGGTTCCTCCATCTAAATAGCAAAATATAGCAGGAAAGGGAAAAATAACAGTGTTATTTCTGAGTTTCTATTTAACAAGCTTAACTCTCCCCTGAATCAGAGTCACTGGCCACTAAAGGTCATAATGAAAAGGAAACAAAGGATGTTAATATATCACAGCAAAAGAAACGTAATCAATGTCTTTGATTTGTGTAGCAATTGTTGAAAGGGAACGTTATTTACGATGTAAATGCTCATCAGAGCCATAATAATATTTTCAAGTCTATTGTTCAGTTGTTCATCAAGGCATTTCTCCCATTTACTACAAAAGTGGGCAATTTACTTTTATTTAGAAGTCACTAATAAATACTATAAAGTATTAATTTACAATTGTAGTTAGTATTTTTCTACTTTTTTCAAACAGTTCCCAAAAAGGAGTAGTGGCTTTCTATTTCATAACCTGTAATAAATGCTTTATTTTACTACCTCTAATATTTCCTGTTTCAAATTTCCTTCTGATTTAGAGAGAGGAGCTATTCGTTATTTTGTGAATTATAAAGTATACATTTTCTCATTTCATGTCCTCCTTAGAGAACGCATTCACAATATTTTGTTTCTTAAATGTTCAGCTGAAAAATGACTGTTTAAAAGCACAAGAATTTGTGCTTCTGTTTTTGAAGGCCAAATAGGAAGATTGGCACTAATAATAAATATACTAATAGTTACTTCCATTTCTTAAATTGAAAACTGTCTAAAACACCTTCACTCTAAAAACCTTAGGGCTCTTTTGGTTTTAATTTTAAGATAACAAAAGAAGTGTCACTTTGCAGTAACATCAACATCTAA